ACTGAAGTAGTTTTGTAGACCTAGAATTGTTAAATGATATTTACCTCCTTTCGTCGAAGATACATACAGTGCGGGCAATGAACGTCGCATCGTCTCCATGAGCAGTATAAAAGTCTCCTCTATCGAAGACTCTAATGGTCTCTCCATCTCTCTGAGGTAAATTTGTGAAAAACTTAATGAACCCAAGCTCATCATCAACCTAATTTACAGTATCAGTAAGAGGTCTTTCTAACCAAAAGCTACAATTAAGAGGTGGCGTACCTTAAGCTCAGGACGGGAAGACATTTTGAGAGATTTTCCTGGATATCAATTATTGAATAATTTCTTCAAGGTGCTCCAGAGTCAAGAAAATAGAGATCATATCATCCAAGTCAAACTTCTGAACAAATTGCCCAAGAATAGAGTAGAGGAGACGCGACAGGCGACACGCTAAACCATTAATCACGCGTTCTGCCAAAGCGGTGAAGAAGAAAATCAATTTAGTTATTCTCAGTCATATGAAATTCAAGCTTCCCCCTCACCAACTCCCCCAATAAATGTAAAAATGTCCGACATCGACGAACGGCCCTCTAAAATTCGCAAAGTCGCATCTACTGACGATGAATCGACTTCTACCGATTCGATTGCCCCCAATTCAAATGCAAATTCCAACTCCAATGACACAACAATGCAGCTCGAAACCTTGATAAAGACTGAAGATGCCCCCGCCAACCCCGAGTCCAATACCACCGAGTCCACCACTACAGCCCCTTCCAATGAACCCAATCCCCTCTCCAAATCGCAATTAAAAAAGCGCAGAAAGCAAGAAGAATGGGAAGCCAACAAATCCAAACGTACCGAATTCCGGCGCATCAAGCGCAAAGAAAAGCAGGCTCGTAAAGCTGCGGCTCAAGCAGCTGGACTGCTACCTCCTCCTCCACCTTCCTCGTCCCGTCGACCTATTCAAGTCCCAGTTTCTTTCCTTATTGATTGTGATTTTGAATCTTATATGATGGAAAAAGAAATCATATCATTGACAGCGCAAGTAACACGCTGTTATAGTGATAATCGGACTGCGGTTTACAGAGGACATATGGGAATATCGGGGTGGGGAGGCAAAATGAAGGAGAGATTTGAGGGGGTATTGGCAGGTAATTTTAATAGTTGGAAGGGAGTTAAATTCATGGAGGAGGGGTGGATGGAAGCAGCGGGGATCCTGGATGGACTTATGAGGGGACCTGAAGGTGGAAAGTTGCTAGGTGCTTTGGCTGCAGAAAATGGATTGGAGGAATATCAGAAACCGCGCAGAGAATCAAAGAAGCAGGAAGTAGAATCAGCGGGAGCAGAATCAGCGGAAGCTGTACAGCTAGAAGTCGATGAACAGCTAAAGTCAACCATCCCAGAAGCCTCAGACTCTACACCCTCAACCACTTTCTCATCCATCACTCCAAATATAGTCTACCTTTCCTCCGATTCCGAAAACACCCTCACTACTCTCTCTCCATACACAACCTATGTTATCGGCGGTATAGTCGACAAAAACCGTCACAAAGGCCTTTGCTACAAACGAGCTTGCGATGCGGGTATCCCAACCGCAAAGTTACCTATTGGAGAATATATGACTATGCAAAGTCGGACCGTGTTGACTGTGAATCATGTGATGGAGATCATGATAAGGTGGTTGGAAACGGGCGATTGGGGTAAGGCTTTCTTGAAGGTTATCCCTAAGAGAAAGGAGGCGAAGTTAAAGGCCAAGGAGAAGAAAGGCGGGGCGGAGGGCGAGGAAGGTAATGAGGGAGAGGATGGAGACGAGCAGCATGAGGACGAGGAGGAAAAGAGTGGATATGAGAGCGAAGATGGTGATGAGGGTGGAGTTTCTCTTGAAGCTGAAAAACAGGCAGAGGAGCAACAGGCATTTGTTAAGGACGAAGGAAATGATACCACAGTGTGAGAAGCTGATTAAGTAAACTCAGAAAAAGAATAACAAGATCATTTTGACCATTCGTTCATTCATTCATTTAAAACACTAATCAAAATCCGGGTATAATCTTCCAGTATCCATGAAAAACAACCACACCTAAACGCCTCATTCCATTTCTCTCGCGCAAGATTTCTCATTTCTCCCAAAGAACTCAATCCCCAATATCCTAGCCTCTCTTCCCCGTCCCCTAACATATTCCTCCGCCCGTCCCGCTCTATCCCTTGTAGCCCCCACCTCCGGCAACCCTCTAAACAGTCCCTCCAACCCACCAATCCCCTTGTCCCAATCCCCTTCCACCTCCACCATCCTCTCATTCCTCTCCAACCCCAATCCGCTCCCCCCTTCCGCAAAAATCGCCTCATCCTCCATCCCCAATTTCTCCCTCCACCCCTCAATCTCCCTTTCTTCCTCCTCAACCCCCTTCTTCCACTTTCCTTCCCTCTCCACCACCACCGCTGGTACATTTCTCCTCAGCGCCGCAATCTGCTCTACTAATTCTTCCTCTTTCACCGCTAATGCTTTTGCTCTTTCCCATAATTGTCCATCAAACGGTTCATGTTCCTCGCGTTCTTCGATAATATCTCTATCGTTTTCTTCCGGTTGCAGATTCGCATTTATGAGTTTCCGCTGGGGTACCATGCCATTGATCGAGATACTAGGAGAAGCTGTGAGGAAAGTTTTATGTATGTACTATCTTCCTCGTTAGTGATCTTTCATTCTGATCTTCGCATTTCCTTTGCGTTTCCCGTCTCCCCAACATCCTCTCCCCGGACGAAACCCAAAATCCAAGAAAAGAATAGAAAAAACACAAACCTCTCCCACAATCTCCTCCACCAATCTCCTCATCGCATCTTCTCCCTCTATCGGTGGTAAATCCCGATCAATCATTTCCCGCGCCGCCCTCTTGACATTCGCGACTAGATATTTCAAATCGTCTGGCGATTGGAGTTCGATTTTCCGTTGTTGTTCTGCCATATTTGTTTTCGATCTGCCTCTTTCCTTTTTTTCTCTCCTATATAACGGCCCTTTCCCCTCTGCAATCTGCAGAAATTATCGCGACGACGAAAGGATGAAAGCAAGAAAACTAGCGTTGCGCATCAATTCTCCGCGTTCATAAATCAGAACTATCTCCACTCGGGGATCCTGAAGGCGAATGAATCAAAGAATTCGAGTTCGTTGAATCGACTCAAAATTTCAAGTATAAATATACTTAGTAATAGATTCCGCAGCGTATCGTGGCGACAAATCGTCGTTGTCTGTATTTTGCTTCGCAGACTATTTGTTTACATCCACAGTTCAGTAACCATCATATCGGAAAACAACTTCACGGCACCAGCGCAAAGCTTCTAGACTTTTAGAGTCCGTGCGTGGGGGGTTGATTAGTAATCATTTGACCTCACCAGATGCTTTGCTCTCTCTTTTGCACTTGAAACTACTCCGGTTGGATAAACTTACGTGCACGAAATAAGCTTTATTCTCCTAGGGCTTGTCACTATTGGTTTTGCGTCTTACTTCTGTTGTATATTCACGAGTAGGTTATTGAAATAAATGTCTAGCTACATTTAGATTTCAGGGTTTCCATTTGGTGTGTCTGTTCTACAACAAGTTTGTTTTATATTGTATGATTACTCTATCTGATCCTTAAACAGAGAGATGTTCTACCACCTTATACTAGTAATATACATCCTCTAGCATGCTAATACTTACCTGATAGCTAGTTCTAATTCCTCTTTCCCCGTCTTCCCCGTTCTTTTTAAAGTTTCTGTTCTCGTTCCCCTTTTCTAGCGATTAGCATCCTGCGGGGGACCCCTAATAATCTAGACACAGCCACTCCTTCATTGATGCCCTTCAATCTAGATTGACCTGTCACATCCCAAAGTCACTTGCCTACTCCAGACTACAAGGTAGCGGCACGTGTCAGTAATAATCACATACCACGAATCTTTCTTCGGGGTCTCAACAGATATAACACAATACAAGAGCGCTCTCGTTGTTCGATAAGCACTTTGCAGTTCCGAGCCGAAAAGGATTATACTCGTGTATATGACGTGTGATATGCAATAAAGTGGAAGTGCCAAAGCCCGGACCGTATCACATCTCCTCCAAGCCTTCAAGTGGATGGCATTTATTTGCGCAGAGCCCGTCAATTTCCGTATTCCGAACAAATGTGAACCTTCATCCCCGGTAGGAAACTTAGACTAGCTCCATATTCATGGAAGAATAACGTCCAAGCGTGCAAAGTATCGATAACAAATTAGGGCCATCTATTTAACTGGTAGAGACTACAGAGTAAAGCGTCATCCTAAAAAAGCAAGCTATGGCTGCGCCATTCAGAGGGAACAAACTTAGAATAAAAACCTTAATCGCGCAGAAGTTATGCGCAGCAGATAGGGAAAATCTTTAATTTAAGAACGCTCTGATGTTACTCCGCTATATTTAATGAAACTTTCGAATCTCTGACAGCGCTTGGGAGCAATGGTTTCAGATCCGGGATTCTGTCAGATAGAAAGTGACATTACTGCTTAAGCCGTTTGTCGTGTCTCGATTTGGATTGAGCTTACCGGATCGTATTAAGGTTTAGTTTCCGTACTGACGCATACTTCCCGGCAGTTCGGGTAGACCTGTGTTAGAGGATCAGGACTAGTATGTACCCTTGCATCGATGGCAATACAAGTGATATGCCAGTAGTGAGCTATTGGGAACTAGGGTCTCGAGGCGCAGAGGAAGACTGATGAAACGTCTAGAAACTACATCTGACCAATGGGCCAATCTTAGGATGTCTTTGATTAACTCCGAATACTCTAGCTGCTGTAATATCCGAAACCAATTGTTCTATCAAGGTTGAAACCAAACACGGATTGATATTGTGCACGGAGAAACAGGATGAATTGGCATTGTTCCTGCGTAGTTTCTTCCATCCATAAGTTATCGGGAGGCCTCTGCTTTTCTCAAGGAAACCATTATTTCATCATACGAACCTGACTTCAGATTCGGCAAAAGAATTGATTCGATCGAAACTTTAACATATTCAACTGACAAGATGGTTAACACTGGAAAACCATCCAGAGGATGCTATCTCTGCAGATCTCGGCGAGTCAAGGTCAGACGTCATCCTCAATACAGCATGTGAGAAGTACTAACACAAACCAGTGTGATGAGAAAAAGCCAGGCTGCGGTAATTGCCAAAGGTTGAAGCGCGATTGTCCTGGATATCGACCAGTCTTTGACGTTATGCATCGTAACGGATCGAGTTCGACACAACGCAAAACGTCTCATGCAATTGCAACTACAACAGCCCTTGCTACAATTCAAATGGCTCGCTCTCACAACCGGAGTAAATCGGAATCTAGTATGACGCCCTATACACGATGGAGACCAAGGCAAAACTGCAGTCCGGAGGTCCAGAGATTGGTAGAAGCAATACAGAATGGAACACAATTGGCATGCCCGCCTTTGACAGCGGCATTGGAAGAACGTGCAATCTGTTTCTTTCTTTCCAATTATGTTTTGATTCCTCATGGGACAGTGAGATGTGGCTTCCTCGGCTTTTTACTTCCATTGATGAAGCTTCAACCTTCGGCTGTCTTATCAGATTCGCTGTCTGCGGTAGCTTTGGCTACCTTCGGAAATCAACCAAATGCAAGGATGCTAAAGCCAAAAGCCGAGCAGGCCTATTTGAAGGCATTACGTCAAGTCACTAACGCCATAGGCGATCCTAAACAAGCCGCTGAAGATACAACACTTGCAGCGGTTATGCTACTTGCGTTATTTGAGGTTAACATTCTCCAAAAAAAAATTGAAGATGCCGTTGCTAACTTTGAGCAGACTATGGCATATAGTCTAGTGAAAGAGAATGAAGGCTGGAACACTTGGAATTCCCATGTGACTGGTGCAACAACCCTCTTGAAGATGCGCGATGTAAAAGGACCGATGTCTCCGTTGACTTTGGAATTGATATGGACTGTGAAAATACACTTGGTACGTCTAAATTTGTTTGCGTCATTGATTGGATCAGTCGGTTAATTTATGAGAACAGAACCTGAGTTGTCTTCTCAACGGAAAGCTGTCCGATATCCCAGCAGAGTGGAATGAAGTCCTTACTAAGAAAAGAGACCTATCCAGGGGCGGCCGGACAATGTGTAATCGTCTTCAATCTAAAGTTGCAGAAGCTCGTGTTGAATGTGATGAGCTCATGGGCAGCGCGAAACGTACTCCTCAAGACTTCGAAAATGTCCTGAATTTGATGCGAAGAGCTGAAGCCATAGAACAAAGCTACTCGGAATGGGCAGAATCAATGCCACCTCAATGCAATTATAAGTCCATAGGATGGATCGACGCTATACTGGAAGAGAAACTTGCCGAATCGAAATATTTTCCGGGTAAGATTGACAAGTACCACGAAGTTTGGATAGCCCATATTTGGAATTTGTCCCGAGGATCGCGATTACTCAATAATAGTACTATCGTCCGATGTGCTGCCTGGCTATGCTCACCACAAGATTATCGAACTACTGTGGAGTACGAGAAAGCTATGATAGCCGGAAAAGAATTGATTCGGGACGTTATTGCCAGCGTCCCTAATTGTCTCGGGGAAATACCAACAGCTATGGATATCAATATCCCTTCTGAGCACAGCTTCGCCTGCGGAGATGAAAGCGATTCCCGTGCGAAAGGTCTATCTGGACTTTTCATTTTGTGGCCTATGTTTTCTATCGCTACTTCAGACTTTGTTACCGATTCGCAAAGAAAATGGGTCCTAGGAAGGATGAAGTATGCGGCAGAAGAGTTGGGGGTTAGCCAAGGATCCACTGTATACTCAGAGGTGTGTGCATATGGTGGCAATATTTGTAAGTGAAGTTGCTAATCGGTATTATAGCAAAAATGTTCTGTACGAATTCCATCTTCGATGTTAGAGAAAGACGGCCTCATGCCTTCAAGGGTAGAGGAAATCTTGAATGTTCGGATCCCTCCTATCCAACAATCCTTTGAGAATGTTGACGAAATCTGGACCGAAAGGACCGATAGATTTTCTCATTATCCAACTCCAAGCCCAACATCGACTTCTGCGTGTTCGCCGAAGGCCCAACACGATTGGACATTGTTGAACACTGATTCCCTGGATATGAATACAATGAACAATTGGCCGCATCAAACTCAGTGTGATTGGTTCAATCCAGATTTGGATACCAACGTCATCACCTCAGCAGAACCAGCTCAACAAACGATGGCAGATTTGCAAAATCTTTATTCAGATTATCCAGTTCAATCTCAACCAGACAGAATATACCACGAGAGATTCACAGAAGTATGCAACATATGATAAGGACCGACCATAGATGGAAGTTTGGATGAGAATATGACGAATTATATGATAGGTGTTATTGATGTCACTGGTAATTGGAGGTTGATTTTGGAGTACATTTTGTGAATTTAGCCGTCCTGCGCTTATCTACTTTTAAATTTAGTGTCAAGTGGAAGCGGTAGAAGCGGGAGAAGCGAGAACATTAAAGCTTGGCGAGATTTTCCAAAAAAGCTACAGCACTGCTGCTATGTATCATTATTATTGTAAACAACGTTGTACATTACAACAAAATTCCAATCATTTGGATAAATCACAAGTTTGATAGATTTTTCCGTGTCCTGAGACATTCGTCGCTGCTAGATTACTCCGAAGGGAATGTCATGAACATGAAACCGTGCCAATACACATGATACATTTGATCATCAAAACATAGTTGGTGGAGAGATACAAGAATCCAATCACAATCAAGTTTCAGAACAAAACATGGACAAGACCCCTTCTAAACTTTGATCTCTCTGATGCAAACTTAAACTTGATCTTAAACACTGCCGAAGCATCCGTGGTAGCTTCATTGGCAACGATCCCTCTAATAAGATACTTACATAATGCTGGCGCACGCATAGAGAGGTTTAATTGTGATAATCTCTGCGGTAGCAACTTCAAATCCAAGCCCGTCGAATAGGTGAATCTCATCAGGTTCTTAAATCCAATCGTACAGATGCACGTGCACACACGGTTGACGATGAAAGGGATATCGCAGATCATAGGACAGAGTAATAAGCCAACCACAACAAGACAACTTTCTTGAGAACATTGCCTCTCACCAACCGAATACTACAATTTAGATCCCCCACCAGGATATTCACAAGATGTAGAATCCAGCCCCCCCGATTACCTAATCCACACACTCCGCATACTCAACCTGAGCTAACCACGATTAGCACTGGGGTCACGATAACACGAGTGGGGTTCTTAGATAGTGAAAGCCGATAGCTAACCGTACATCTTGCGGGGATGGAGTCACTTTAGTACTGAGCGTTTCAGTCATTTGTAAATCTAATAAGAAAAAGAAAGAAAAATGTCTTATACTCCGAGCACACAGCCGTATTCTAAGTATATAATCTATATTCAGATCGAAAAGAACAAGAACCAAACTCCAACACGGAATTATCAGCACATGTAAATAACTGGGATAACTTTAGCGATGACTACATCACGAGAGGAAATGGCACTCAGCCTGTCAGAATAATGGATGTCCTAGATAATAAATGTCATAGTATGGCTACCTAATAAGTTCCTAGTATGTATATTAGACATGGTCATGATTCTCTGGTTGAATTTGCAGTTAGTGTTCCTTCTTGTATCGCAACATATCGGTGGCCCCGAGTGTAGCCTATGAAGCCTATGCTATCGGCCTTTACATGAGGCTGACTTTGTTGTGCTTTCCTTTCCGCCACCGCAATATTTTAATCAAAAAATCAAGAAGCAATATGGACTAGCAATGCAAGTTGAAAAGGAGTTGAATTGATCAAGGGGAATCTGTTGTAGAAAGAGGGACGCCTCGCCCAATACACCCAATAACCAAATACCAAAAGAATTGTATCCAAACTCCTCATGTCTCCTAACAAAATCAAATACCGCCAGTCCCTAGATAAAATATGCCACCCGCAATCGCTGACCAGGCTACCTAAAATATAACGCACCTCTGCACCCGTGAAATTGTAATGATATGTTCAAACCCTCAGCGCATGAATGTGCAAACCAAACCCATCGATTTATATCAACGTCCTCCGTTTGTATTTTTGTACGCAACCTATTGAGGAAACATTTGCTTGATTTCCTCATCGCTCAATCTGATTTCAAGAACAGGCTCGCGCTTTCGTTCGAGCGATTCGAAATCGGATTCCATATAGGAGGGGAAGAATATTTCTATCGCAACTTATTAGCATATTAGGAAGAAGGACCATATGGCTTTCTTACCTGGGTTCCAGTCAAACCCTTGCGAAGAACGAACGCAAGTGATCTATAAATAACATTCGTCAGTACATATTCAATCATTGCAGCATTCTCACGCCGCAGGATAACGTACAAGTCGTGGTGTGCCGTCGGGATCTCCAATATTAATTGTGGTATGTTCTTCCTTTGCAAGTGCTGTGCCTGAAGTAGACATGTTAGTCATGTTCTCTACTGATTGACATGAGAGTGATGATCATGTCCGAAGGTCCGTAAAATTCCATCAATTCACAACTCCTATCTTCCGGAAATGAGATCCCAAGCACCAACGAGGTAAACACTTACTCAAAAGACTTCTTCTCCTATCATATCCATATCGAGTATTTGGAGAAGTAGCAGCTGACGATGGTGATTGTTGTGATGTTGTAGGAGAGCTTGAATATGACGAGGAGCTGCTTGGGCTCGCTGTAGCAGCAGCCTTGTTGGAATTTCTTGTTGGAATCGTGATAGATGACGACATGGTTGACAGTTTGACGAGCTGGACGTTGATGGATTTAGGTGATAATCAAAGAAAGGTTGAAAGTTTATGAAAGGGCTCTTTCTGTCCCAAATCAATACTCAGCGACTGGGTACTTTCCAAAGTTGTTGTATATGACTTGATTTGAGTCTTATGAGAATGAAAGTAAACGAGAGCCTGGAAAGATAGATTAATGTTAACATGAATACCCCCCCGTATTTGGTGGAGTCACAGATGGGGCTGACTAGTGATGCGCTAATCCAAAATAAGCACAGCGTAGCAGGGTTCCCACCCAACTGTCAGATATGATTTAGGGCCTTAGATATGAGGCAAAACTAATATCACGTGATTGACCCGGTGATTAGCTAAGCATGGTTCAAACACCGAGCCAGCCTTGAGCTTCAGCTAGGCTAACAACTACGCGCGCCTTCTAAGGACTTAAATTGAAAACGAATTAACAACATCATCATCATAACCATCTTCCACATCTCGCCACTACCATACATCCGCATTCAAATCAAACCAGCAGATCTTCAATATGGGTGACGTTTTATTAGAGAACCCTGCGACTCAGGCTTTGCCCCATCGAAAACCATTACCATCCTCGATACCAAACATAGATTCGCTGGAGGGCTTAGGAACAGATGGAAGTGATGAATATTCAACACTGAAGAAGCTTCAAAGGCACTTGGAGTCAGTATATTGTTGGATAGATCCTCGAAAGTGAAATGCTAACTGAGTGTTACAGATATATCCAACTTCAAGAAGAATATATCAAGGATGAACAAAGGTATGCGATCTGAACTCTATCTGTGGTTTGTACAAGTACTTATCATGATTACTTTAACAGAAGCTTGAAGAGGGAGCTTGTGCGAGCTCAAGAAGAAATCAAACGTATTCAAAGTGTTCCTTTGGTGATAGGGCAATTCATGGAAGCTATTGATCAAAAGTATAACACACCCTCGTTCATCTTTCCAGCAATTGGTGATACTAATACGTTGAAAACAGTACTGGTATTGTACAATCATCAACAGGATCCAACTATGTTGTTCGAATTCTATCCACCCTCGATCGCGAACTTCTAAAACCATCCTCCTCTGTCGCTCTCCACAGGCACTCCAATTCGTTAGTCGATATCTTACCTCCCGAGGCCGATTCATCAATTGCCATGTTAGGTGCTGATGAGAAGCCCGATGTTACATACGCAGACGTTGGAGGACTCGATATGCAAAAGCAAGAAATTCGAGAAGCCGTTGAACTTCCATTAACACATTTCGACTTATACAAGCAAATTGGTATCGATCCACCACGAGGTGTTTTACTATATGGCCCACCAGGAACAGGAAAGACTATGCTTGTCAAGGCAGTAGCGAATTCGACAACTGCAAACTTCATCCGTGTCGTTGGGTCTGAATTCGTACAAAAGTATCTTGGAGAAGGTCCTCGTATGGTCCGTGATGTGTTCCGTATGGCTCGTGAGAACTCCCCAGCTATTATCTTCATTGATGAAATCGATGCCATCGCCACGAAGCGTTTCGATGCTCAAACTGGAGCTGATAGAGAAGTTCAACGTATTCTTCTCGAGCTTTTGAACCAAATGGATGGTTTTGACCAAACTTCCAATGTTAAAGTCATTATGGCCACCAATCGTGCCGATACTCTCGACCCTGCTTTACTTCGTCCTGGTCGTCTGGATAGAAAGATTGAGTTCCCCAACCTTCGCGATCGCAGAGAGAGACGGTTGATCTTCACTACTATTGCGTCGAGGATGTCATTGTCACCTGAGGTCGATCTTGATAGTTTAATCATTAGAAACGATCCATTATCTGGTGCTATTATTGCAGCTATCATGCAAGAAGCTGGTTTGAGAGCCGTCAGAAAGAATAGATACAATATCATTCAATCCGATCTTGAAGATGCCTATTCTAGTCAAGTTAAGGGTGCACAAGAGGTATGTATAGAGCTGAAATTTTCATCAACTCTTAGCGTTTCACGTCAAAATATTCTAACATTTCCCAGGCCGATAAATTCGACTTCTACAAATAGAGGAATGATAATCGCGAAGAATAAAGTGGGGAGAAGTGGCATGGGAGCGACGTGGAAAGTGAAAATGCCTTGAAATGTGGCATTTCTGAAAAGTATCAGATGCTACATTCATGCTAGGCTTTTGCAATTGTACCAACATACCAAACATTACGTTGTAGTAATGATCTCTGCAATGAATGCAGGGAACTTTATACAAACTGCATGAATCTATACCCTTTTGACATGAAATTGAGCGGTTTCGCTAGATGGAATATAAAAGATTATAAGAGGCAACTGTGAAGTAAAGTGTGATGCGTCGACCAACCATAAAAGCTCATATAATGACTTGATCTATGGCATATCTGATACGAATTTTGAGATATGCATTCATACTAGGTAGTAAGGAAAGATAAGTTGTTCTTCAAGTGGAGGCTAGGGATTTGATGCACCGCCAATTCATCTTCACTCATGAATTGAGGACTGAATCCTAAGAGGATGAAATTCTATACTTATCGAAAAGATTCACCACCGGATTTTACCTCTCCAAATTCCTCTAATATCTCAGAACTTCTTTTGGGGGAATGAAAATGGTGATTAGAGACTCGAGAGGGCAATATGTCTCATTGATATCAACACTAGGTAGTTATGACGTTTGGATGGCTTTAATGGTGTTTGGTACTTGATGTGTAGATCTTCGTTGGCTTGTTAAGGAGCTACTAGATGGGTAGATTTCAAATATGTGAATACCTAGTATTCTTGCTGTGATGTGGAATTTAGAAATGCATTCTTTGCATTGATGAAGTATGCATTTTATCATTGTTTCAGTAAGCCAAACCTCTTTCAAATTACTCGAGCAGTCAACTAACTTACGAGTTTCTCCCCTAAGCTCCATAAGCTTTCCTATTGTTGATGTTTAACTTTGTAGAATCCGTTGCTGGATTACTTTGACTCTGATTCCGTACTTCCACACTTCCACTGCGCTCAAACTCCTCGCTTGTTCCAAGTCCTGCATTAATCTCAATATCTTCACGAACTGCTTGTTCAAATTATCCACTTTTTTTATTCCTCCAACAATATACCTGAGCCATCGATCCGGTATCGAATTCAAGCCAAACTTGTGAATTCACATTCTCTCGACTTTGATAATAGAATAGAAGTCTCGCGAGGAAGAAGCAAAGTAAAGTAGACTTTTCCCTTTCCGATAGACTTCACCAATGTTCAACAACAAGTCTATATACTTCATTGCACGATTCATGTTTCGATGCGCATCCATACCTTAAATAAGCAAGGCGAGTATTGTCTCAAGAAGAGTGCTGAGGATCCTAAGTGTTGGTTTGTGAAAGACTCTCTGCGTCACTTTGAAACTCTTAGGCTCAGTTCCGCTCATTGAGAAGCGGAAGCTGATTGTCAGGGGTTTTTGAACGCTTCTTCTTCGTAAAGTTACTCTTGTCGAATCTTTGTTTATTCGTCTCTTTTGTCGCGGGTTTTAGGAATATTGAGAGAGGTTATCCCATCGTTTTCCCGTTTCATTCTTCGCAATATTAAGAGGGGAATAAGGATTAAAATGTCCCCCCCCCCCCCACCTAATCGTAGTCCTTTGGCAGATCGGATGAGAGCTATTTTTCCCTCGATATTGATATTGGTAATCTGGTGTGACTATCTTGTCTTAATAATCAATCACCTGGTTATTATATTACAAGTATATGTGGTACCAGGCTATCCGTTTCCAAATGTTGCGTATGGTCTATAAAAATCAGGATTCAGGAGACAATTATTTGTCTCGCAAGGTAAATACATTTTGAGCACGAGGTTTTCGACATTTGCTCAACCTGGGGTAATAAATAACGAGTAGTCTCTTCTCGCATGATATAATATCGCCGATTGTCAAGTAAATGGGTGAGAACCGATACGAGAAATGTAGGAGCTCGAATACTTGGATTGGGGGAAGCGGTGCTGTCGATATATGAGATGAGAGTGTAGCTAATTTGGGGAAGGTTTTAAGTTTGCGTCGATGCGCGTTAGGAAAGGGAAAGGAGGGTTGTTGATGGTATCATATAGATTGATGGAGATGCCAGGGATAAGCAAGATGTCAGGAAAGTTTATCGAACACGCCGGTGATGAGCTAGATTGGTAGGACTGGGTGTTGAGGCTGGATTTCTATGGTGGCTACCTAGGTAGTGAGAGATTTCAACTTGATGGTAGTACTGCTTTACTACACATTTTTTCATAGAATCATAGCTAGTATTTTCAACCAATAGTGGGGTATAGTTCTGTAAATGCTAGTTTCCTATTCAACGATAGCGACATTGATTCCACGTATTTGCATAGCCCACATTCCCCATTTGCTAGGAGATTTAATCTTATCCTTAAAGCATTCCTAGTACACGAACCACTATCGCTACCGCTTAGCCTCAGCTTCACGCTTGACCAGATCTCAGGCGTCTCAACCCAAACACTGCCTCGAGTCTCAGACTTCGGTATTCATGAGTTGAGATTACTGGTAGATATTATCTATTCTCTTACAATTCGCTTAGTGAAGAGAATAGAGTTATCGTGTCTCGGCACATATCAAAACTGACGAAGAACAATTCCCATGTCTATGAATAACCACTCCTTGCTTGTTCTTGGGCTAAGTCCTAAGAGAATGGTAGACTTGCAGGATCGGAGACGGATTCAGCTCTGGGATAGTCAGTTTGAATGAACACGAAAAGAGCAACAGGAGCGATCCGAAATGAGTAATAGAGGCTGTAAGAGCAGAAAGTTCGTATACGAGAATGATATCACAACGTACCTACCGTACTCGAAATCCATATGCCTTTCAAAGCCATAGCTATCGTTCACTAGTATCGAAAGCCTTGAATCCTTCGCCTTCAAATGGAAATTCTTCGTAGACGATATCCGAGTCGCGCATATCTTTAACCTGGACTTGCATCCAACGCAACATTCTCTCATCATGACGTTTGACACGATGAGAGTGATTATATATTACCATGGTGAGACCGATCGCAGTCACGGGATTCAACCTCTTGGAAGCTTGTCTTTTTGCGTGATCTAACCAAGCATCTCCATCTTCTGGTGGAATGCTCGGTTTCAGTAGTATCTTTGTATCTTGAGGCCAAGGGAAAGTTCCAACCTTTGAAAGATAGGGGTGTATATTCTCAAGGGTATGTTTACCTGTTGGGTTATTTACTACAACAATATCCCTCAAATTCTCCCGGACTTTATTGCGCAGGATCTTGAGTGCAGGCGCATAGGCTAGCAGGTGCAGACTGAAATTGACCGATCTATCTACAAGGAAAGGATTGCTCAGCGCAACTTCAAATTTTGATTGTGCGTGTGCAATATTAAAGAGTGTCTTTCTGATAAATTCAGTATTCGAGGTTCCTAATCCGCGCACGAGTTCCAAATTAGGCATTGCTTGTGTATGAACCCTCGGTGCATAGATGTCTTTTCGAAGATTTCTCAGCCTGAATTCGTCAAGGGGGCTTAGGCGCACCATAACGTTGATGAGTCGTCCGAATGGCTCTCTGGTTTGAGGAAAGAATGCTAGTGGTAACGGCATAGTGACATGAGTTATCAAACCAGGAATATATAAGCTCAATCATCCAAATTTTCTATGCTCAAGTTAGCCAATCTCTTTGCGACCGATTGGGAGGTATTACTATAGTTGAGAGTAGTGCTTCGACGTCAGACTCCAATCAGCTGACTTGTGATTCAGCTTTGAGACAAAACAGAAGAAGCCTTGTTCAGAAATAGCAAGAAAATATAACTCTGATTTGGTAGCCTCTTATAAAACACAAAATCTCGGCTCGCTTGTATCTCGAGCGTGAAAATTGACACCAATTTTATGTTTTTCCCCAAAGTTTTTTTAACGACCGGTTGGGATCAAATTGACAAGATGTGGTTAGAATGAAGACAATCAAATACTCTCCATTAACCGGAACCAATTTATAGATATAGATCTGACTCGATATATCCAGGTATTTCATGTTGTTTTTGATGAGAAGTGTATAAAATATATCCTTCTAGCTGACTAATCGAGGATCAATATCCAGCCACAATCGAGCCACAAATCCATCTCATCCATGGATCACCGCAACATGGTACGAAGACAAGCTAACCCAGCGAATCCATCTTTACTTCCAACATGCACTGCACATATTTCAATCTTTTCCCAACATCCTACTCCAATCCTCCTCTCTAATTAACACCATGCTCCGGTGCTCCTCCCTGAGGACCCCAAATACTCCTCTCTTGCAACCATTCCAACTTTCCACTCTGCTTATCCACCTTCCCAAACATAAAGCTTTCAAATTCCGTATCCTCCCCATCAACTTGGATAGTTCCCGTCATATGCGCTGCCAAACTGTCTCCATCGCGGAGGAATTGATCGCTATGTTCATCCGAGTCAGCTTTTCGTATATATCTCAATCTTTCTCTGCAACCCCCCCAAAGAGTCAAGACTACCTGCTAAACTCAGGAGATACCAAGGTTAGATAACTTACACAACAGGTTTATACGCGCCAATCTTCCCCCTCCACATTTCAATCCCCTTGATCCAATGCTCGACATCTGATTTCTGTCCGTTCATCACATGATAGAATGTAGGAGTTGCAGTAGCTTCTGCATACATTTTCGCTTCAGCAGGTGAACCAATAAGACTCTCTTCCATTGCGCGCTGGAAGCCTTCGATTGTGGATGTATATTCGGCCATTACTTATTCAGATTGAAACTTTGAGAAATCACTATAGTCTGGAAGTACTGTGTGAAATTCCCTTCTTGTCTTTCTTTTCCTTTTCGAAAGAAAATTATTGATGATTCTTGCAAATGACGAGGAAGCTGGTCTGCTTATGGTGCCAGGTATCTTTGCTGCGCCGCAGAATCAACAGTTGTACTGTGAAGGTGACGTCCGCAAGTGGATATGCGGGGTATATATATAGTGGAAGATGACGCTAGTGTTGGTTATATCTTATGTGAGAAAGTAGCTCTCAGGATAGATCAGCAGCTTGTGGTGTTTCTGTTGAATCAAGACGGAGTGATATTTAGTTTATGACAACGATCTTCTTCTGAGTGGGCATCTTCTTTACATATAGTTAGTGTAATGTCAAGGTTGTTCGAAGTCTCAATCTACTAGTTCTCAGTATATGCGATCTCGCCCATTATCCTTCCTCCCTCCTCCTCCTCCTCCTCCTCCTCCCCCCCCCTCCGGCTTTCTCCTTCTTCCAATTGAAATCCAATCCACTACTTCTTTCTCCTGGCCCTCCCAGCCAACCCCTTTTATCATCCCAATTCAACCTGTCTCATCTAACCCTTTACCCCTTTCCCTTCTACTCCCATCAAAAAGAGGCAGAATAATCACATCCACACTATATCTTCCCTGTTCCATTCTATCCGTCTAATCCCCGACTTCCTCAACTAGCATAATGATACTCATAAAGTTTGAAATCATGCCTTTCTTTACCAGTATTACTATTCTCCAGTCTCCGATCATGATCTCTATCCCAACATCATGCTTTCCGAATCAAAAGATCACATACCCGAACTTCCATTATAACCAATACCTCTCTCTCCGGTACTACTTCAACATCACCAAAACACCATGAACAATAGATCCCCAAGACCTCCCACATTTCAAACTCTCGTTCATCTGCCACCAAATTGCACACCATAAAAACTGGATACTCTACCTCTCCTTTCCCATTCATTAAAAATTCCAATCAATCGCCATCTCTATACTCTAAACTATGAATCTATAAACCCTAAAGCTAAATCTCCAATCCCCAGATGAAGATATTCCAACTTAACATTCATCAACCATCACGATTTCTCGAATTTTCTTTTCCTTTTCCTTCTCCAGCTAATCTCTATATCATATCCCTATATCAAATTCAAACTCAAATTCCACATCCAAGCTATCATCCAGAAGAGCTTTACCAACTTCCAAATATCCATAATTTTCACCATCCTCATCAATCCTCATCAATCTCCATCAACATTATTCAATCCAATCCATCCATCCATATCTTCCCAATCAACCTCACATACACCCACATCTTAAACTCTCACCATATACTTATACTCTAGTATCTATATACCTACCTATTTCCTCATTCTTCTCTCTCATTCCACCTTACCTCTTTCCCTCCGACCAATAACTAGCTGATATTAAAAACTCAATATTAATTATTAATTTCCAATTTTCAATTACCAACTCCCAATTCCCAATTATTAACTTTTAATCATTTTTTTACTTGATATATTATAACTCTTTATTGATCAAACACTACTTATTAAACACAACCTAGTATCTACCTAATACCATCTAAATATACTTCATTCGGTTGAATATATGAATAGATATATAAATACATAGATACATAAATAGACCTATTACCTTCATCTATTTAACTATTCATCTATCCACCTACGCACTCATCTCTCAAATTATTCATTTCTAAAACTATCAAATCAATACAAAGCTCTTCAATTATCAATCTCAATATCAATCTCAATCCTCATTATAATCTATTCATTCATTAATCCACCCATCCATCCATCCATCCATCCCATCCCATTAAAAATATAAAAATCACACTATCTACCCATCTACCTACCTTATCAATTACCCAACTCTATGTATTTTTTCCCCCTCCCCTCTCTTCTAAATATTACATTTTATTAAGTAAATATGATTAAATTCTATATATCAATACTACTGAATACAATACCCCTCTTCCCCCTCAAACCCTCAAACCCTCAATTTAAAATACTTCAGCCTCTATAAAAAACCTCTCTATCTATACTCTCAAATCTCAATCCTAATTTAATATACTTGATTCTATTAAAATCTCTTAATTCCCAACTCCCAATTCCCTAACAAATCCACAATCCTCAACACAATCAACTCCCCTCTCCCTCTCCCTCTCCCTCTCCCTCTCCCTCTCCCTCTCCCTCTCCCTCTCCCTCTCCCTCTCCCTCTCCCTCTCAATCTTTTTCTACCTCTATTTCCACTCCCCTTTTTACATATATACAAACTTCTCTAAATCTATATTTTATAACAATCTCAATTAGCATAATTATATATATCAAATACTATCATTCAATCATCATATCATAAACCACTATAGTAACTCCATCTCATATCTCCTCATCCCCCATCACAAGACCTCCATTTATAAATATATACCTTCCTCTCCCCAGTATGCGCGGAAAAACACGCACAGATCACATGGCATTCTCTGTAAGGTTAGCTAGTACCTAGGGATTTCTAGTTTTGATGATATAGTTTAGACAAAGGTAATTAGTTCCTACCCATTCTATTATATATGATACCCCCTGTGTATTACAATTACACAAAAGCTTCCTAGAGCTTCTCTCCTTTCTCCTCCGTTAATAATACTACTTTCGCAAGAACATTTCTACAGTATTTGCGAAAGCTTACTCATTCTATAACTCTACCGTCCACCCACCTTTTACTCTTTTGTATTAGTCAAACCAAAACAAACCAAACCACACACTCTTACACCTCACCTCAGCTCTCCCGTTACCTAGCCAGCACTATTATCAAACACCTATCCCATCCAAGTCCTCAACTCCCCAAGATCCTCCGAATTACTCTCTACTAGAGTACATCCAGAGATTACAGGTTACAAGTTATAGAGTGAGAATTCATAACTGAATACGTACATACAAGCTCGAAGATTACCAATCCATATAAGTGTCTAAACAGACAGTGAAATGGAATCTTATAATCTCATCTATTACAATCAGGGATCACATCTCTTCACTTTCCACTTTCCACTCGTCACTTATTCATTTTGCAACCTGAAAACTTTAGATTTCGTTTCCTCAAATTTAGATGTATAAGTTTTCCTTCCCTGTTGATCTATTCTCGCTAATATCTATCCACTTCGAGGTCTCCATGTACTGTATCTGCAGAGACCATATAATTCATCACCACCCCTACATCCTACATCCTCCCATCAAACACTCTAATCACTATCCTCCTCACTCTCCTCCTCATCTTCATCTTCTTCCTCACTACTCTCCTCACTCTCCGCCTCTCTTAACCACTCGACAAACACCCCAGTCCTCTCCCTCACCTTCTTCATCTCCACATCCCCACCTTCTTTTCCATCCCCTCCACTTTCCGTCTCCTCCCACCATCCCAAAATCGCCTCTTCAGTCACCACATCCCTCTCATACAGTTTCTGACAAAGACTCGCCATAACCGGCGCCCCATTTTGTTTCCCCACCAATCCCTTCTGCAAGCAAACGAGAAATTCCTTCATTCCCCCTTCATCCCTCTCAATACCCACCGCGACCTCCTCCAAGAATTTCTGTGCACCCGCTACACTCAATGCCTGCACCGTTGCTTCAACTGCTGTTTTCGTTCCGGCCGTCACCACTTCCGCTATGAATTTCGTGAAAGCTGCTGCGATTGCTCGACGGATTTGATAGTCGTCCGCATCATTACTTAATCTCAGACCCATAAATTCCAACTTCGCACCATCGAAATCTCCATTTTCTCTTAATGTATCAAGAAGACCTTGAACAGCATCA